CTCCTTCGGGTAGAGTAGGAGGAGCTGTTAGGAGAGCAGGTTCTCAGGAAATCTTTTCTCCAAAGCCCATGAGACAAAGAGCGCAAGGAGACACTGGAAAACGAAGGCTTATCCAGAAGAAGACAGGTTCCCAGGGCAGAGGATTGTGGGTAAGAGACAAAGAGAAGTGTCCTAATAGAGAGCTCTTAACCTCAGTGTGAGTGCCTAAGGGGGCTGGCTCCTCGGCATCCTGCCCAGGTCAGTGTTGTCACCCTGGCATCTAGTGGGCAGGCTGAGCTGAGGCAGGCAAAGCTGGGTGACCCTGGGCAGATTGCTTTATCTCTCCGGGCCATATATGTCTCAAAGTAGACCAAAGTCCTGAGTTTGCTGTCAGTGTGATCAGCTCACGCTCTCTCTATGCCAGAGGAGTCCAGGCTGGGTTTCTATAGCCCTTTTTCTCTACTCAGAGCCAGCAGATGCCTGATCCGGGGCTGTGAGCTTTGGGGCAGTAGCACCCTCTCAGCACTGTGGTAATCTCCCCCTCCCCCACCGTCTCCTCTGGGTCTCAGTGACTGAACTAGGGAGTGCTAGGCTCCACGAGGATCCCTGGGCCTGGTAGAAGGCAGAGAAGGCGTGGCATGGGCACCCCCGCCCCCACCCTGGATGAGGTGTTTTCGCTAGAATCGCAGCAGCTGCGGCTAGAGGCCTCTTCCCAGGAAGTAAGAGCAGAGGCCTCTTCCAAGAACTCAGAGGAGGCCTGCAGGCAGGGGAGGGGGGAGTGGGGGAGTTAATTTTAAACCAAACAGCCTTCAACGCTCCTCAGGAACTGGTTGCTCAATGTGATCTGGCAGGTCCCAGGCGGGTCTGCGGGCCTGGTGCCAGCTCAGGCTGAGCCGGGTGTGTGGAGGACACGCCCCAGAGGGGGAGGCCCAGTGACCTTGAGGGAAGTTGGGCCCTGTCCTTGCCCACGAATCAGGGCCTGTCACCCCCAACCCCACCTACCCAACCCAACTTGCTGAGGGTGTGGGGTGAGATGATTTCCTCTGTCATAATCAGGCAGGGTGAAATTATAACAAGATTAATAATATAGGTGTCATGTCCTTCCAAGAACTGACTATCCCACTCCCCTTCCCTGCTCAGAACTTGCCACTCCTGTCCCCTGGCTTGTACCGCTGGAGGTTATCTGATGAAGGCCTGCTCTGGGGCCAAAGTAAGGCTCGTGTCATTTGCCTGCTAGATGGGACTTCGGGGTGGTGGTGGAGGGATGGAGGGTGGAATGGAGCAAGTTGGGCCCAAGTTCTGAGCCTAAAGGGTGAGTCTCCTGTGTGTGCAGGGAGGCTCTGAGCTGAACACACTGGGCCTACCCCCACCCCCATTGTTGGCAGGGAGTCAGAATGCCTTCACACACATTGACCTCCGCCTCCACCCTAGTGTGGCCACCCCCTCCAGACTGACAGCCTAAGCCCACCTCTCAGTGTCTGGACCCCAGAGGCCCCGCCCAGGGCACCCCTTCCCTCCCTTCCTCCACCAGCTGCCCAATAAGACCCAGCAGCCGGGGCGGGGTGAGGCCTGTGTTCCAGGAAAGGATCCTGGGCAAGAGCTGCCAGGAGCCTCAGTTCTTGGAATTGGCTCTGCAGAGCGAGGGGACGCTTCCTGGAACCTCTTGGCCACTCCAGGGAGAGGCTCAGAGACAGGGCTGTGACCTAGGTAAGGGAATGTGGTGCTGAGGCCTCAGCCGGGGTCCTTGCCCCCAGTAAGCCCTCTCTGATTGCGGGTGTCCCCTTAGACTCCCCTATCTTGACACTGAGTCTGGAGGGCCCTTCTAAGGGATCTGCCAGGACAGGCCCAGATCTGGTGCAGCCTCTTCAGTACCTAGCGTCCAGCCCAGGGACAGGCACAGTGTTGACAACCAGAAAGAGTAGGGAAAAAAGGGGAGTGTGTGCCTGGGGAGAAGGGCATTGTGCAGGCGTGGGGACACAGGTGAAAGCGGGATGTTAGGTGTGAGTGAGCAGCCAGGGGTATGAAGGGCTAAGGGGGAGAAGGGAGAGCAAAATGCCAGGCCCTGCTTGCTGAGTCCCTTGTTGGTGGACAGACAACTTCTGGTCAGGACTTCTGTCTCTCCTTCAGGCCAGTCCTTTCCTACAGGGCCTCTCCCTCAGATCCCTGTCCCACAGCTGAGGTACGGGGCCTGCTCCAGTGTCAGGCCACTTGGTGTGATCCTACCACCGGTGCACAGCTGTGCATCCTGAGCACACATCTGGCCCATTGGAGCCATAGTTACCCTATTTAGAGAATAAAAAGAAGCTGCAGGGCCCCCAGGAAGGCCATGAGGGTTGTGACCCTATTCTGAGACTGGGTTGGGGCCTAGTCACACTTCCAGGGAGCTGCCATAAGTATTCGTATCACAGGGTCCCAGGGTCAGCAGTGGCCTTGAAGTCTGGCTGAGGGGACCGGGGAGCATGTCAGGGCTGGCACAGAGAAGTAAGGTTCTCCCTTTCTGGTTGGGTGACCTTGGGGCAGACTTTTAACCACTCAGAACCTGTTTGCCTTCAGAAGAATGGAGAACCCTAACTGGCCAAGACTCTCCTCTCCCTTGCCTCTCCCCTCATGTCCTCAGGTCACTCCTTGGATCTGACTGATCACAGCCCCAGGCCTGCTACCCACCCATCCCCAACAAGTCACAGAGAAGGGCACCCCCAGCGCATCCCCTAGAGGCCAGGCCTGGGGTTGAGAAGGGCTGAGATTCAGTGCCTGGGCGGGGGCTGTGAGGTGGGGCTGTGACTGAGAGGTCCTTTGAGCCCTGCAGGAGGATGGTGGGGCAGCCTAGGGACCTAGTTCATTATCATAATTCTCTGGCAGGACCTGCAGCAGCAGGCGGTGGGAGCACTGCATTCTCCACCACTCAGAGGCCATGACATCTGCACCAAGGCCAGGCTGGCCTTGACTGGGAGGCTGCCATGGGAGGACTGAACCTGGAATCACCTGACCTGAGCGGGAAGAGCTGCTAGGTGGCACCTACTGGGTTTGCAGGGGACACTGGTGTCCTGCTACATATAGGTGGTTCCAGAGCCAGGCACCCTGCATAACTTGAGCCAGTCATGAATTCTTATCTTACAGAATCCTGGTGAGGAGTTAAATGTATAGATTTGATGAATTTTCTCCTTGGGGGCTCCTCCCTAGTCCCATCCCCCTCCTCCAACTCCCCCTTGGCCATGAGCCCATGTAGACATGAGTCCCAGAAGCACTCTCTCTCTGGCCCTTACTGCAGCAGGAAGAACTCTGGACACACCCGCTCCTTCCACAGGAGCACAGGCCCTGATGTTCACAGTGCTCTAGGCGAAAGGCAAATGGAGGCCCTCACTACAGAATCTAAATATTTAAAATCATAAAACAAGCCACAAACTGCTAATAAAATATGATCTATCCTCCTACTCAACAAATAAACTTTCATAACAATAAAAAATCTGTAAATCTGCAGTTTTTATATGTCTGAAATTCATATAAAATATCAGAAAGTCAGATATCAAATATGCTTGAGTTTAAGAGTTGTTACTCATGTCCAGGCGTCCAGTGATGTGAGTCAGAAGGTAAAGATGTGCCTAATTCAAAAGGTATTACATACTTTTTCTGTAACATTTACTGTTCTTGCTTTTATTCCAGGAAAAATATTATGTTTTCTAATCAAGATTTTCATAATTTCTATCTACTGCCAGTAGTGATTTAACAGGTTAAAATAAAATATTAAATTTCAAGGTCACAAAAATATGAACTAAATTAAATTTAAAATATTTTAAAACTGAAAGTATTTATAATATAGTCCAAAAAGTTGTTTTTAAAATAATCAAAATTAGTGAAAATTAAGTCAAAATACAAACTATTGAGTTATAATGAACTAATGTAAAAATCTAAATCAAAAAGATTTAAAACTAAAATTTTATTCAACTTTTTGAAATTTCTATTAAGTTTTAAGTATTTTTATAGAAATAAACCTTCCCAATTCACGTTCAGATCCTCTGTGAACTCTGAGGCTGGTTCAAAACCCCCTGCATTTCCCTGGGGCCTGAATGGTGTCACTGTGAGTGTTGGGTTTGTCTCGCACTGTGCCAGTGGTGAGTGTCACCTCACCAGTGATGGTGATACCCACGTGTTCTTTAGTCCACTTACTGTGAACTGATCATCTGTGTGCTTGTGATACATTCTACATAATAGGCTCCAGGCAGATTAGAGAAGTGACAGACCAGGTACAATTTCCAATAAATGGTAGTGGAACAATTGGGAAAAAATGAAGTGCAATGTCTACTTCACACAGGCAACCATGATAAATTCTATATGGACTAAATATTTAAACATGAAAAATGAAACCCTAAGAGTCCTTCAGAGCACCTCCCTGGGAGTCACAACAGTATTGATTCTGGGTAGGGAAACACCTTCCTTCGTGTGGCTCCCCTGCATTATTTGCAGGACAGGTCTGGAGAAATGAGAACCACATCAGAAATCCATTAATGCCCTTTAGTGTCATCTTCCCACTCTTGGAGGGTTTTCCCCAGAGGCAGGCTCTGGGACAAGGATCCAAACATAAATAGCTTATTTCGGAGGTGATGTCAAGAAGCACCAGTAGGGTATTGGGAGACAATGTTTCCTGGTTGTCTTCCACTTCTGTACACTTGCTGGTAGAGGCACTGACTGCCCTTGTTCCAAGTAACACTTTTAAGGGTGATTATAGTGAACAGCCTTAGAAGGTAGAGATACTGTCTCCCTCCAGGGAAAAAGGCAGATTTGTTTTATCCACCATTAATAAAGATAATAGCTCCCTCTGGGGCAAAGGTTGGGCAAGTTTGCTTACAGCCTGTTATAAAAGATTTGGGTTCCCTGAACTCAGGGTTCCTCTCTTGTCAATCTACTGCATTTGCAGGCATCATCTGGCCCTTATTGGGTCACTCTGTGGGAACTGGGGTTCCAGGAAGTGGTACAAGAAAATGCTGATCCTCTGTCTACTCTGTTACTGTAGAAAATAAACTGACCTTTGTTCCTAAAGCAGGAGTCTTGTGTCTTCTGCCAGCATCCTCAGCAGTATGACAACTTGTTAGCTTGCAGGTTGGGTGAAATCTCAGCACCTTCCCAGTTCCTGACACGGAGGAGAGGGGAAGTGAGACAGGGAAAGAAAGGAAGCCAAAGAAGGTTTCTTAGTAAGCGGGTTCCCTCTGTGGGCAACTGAGGTCAGTCCTCGGTTGAGAGATGGTGCAGAACACACCTTAGAGTTGTCCTACCCAAGAGATAAGGAAGCTGGGGTGCGTATCCACCAACTGCCACCCCTCGCTGGCTTAGGGCTACTCCAGGGGGTGAGCTCCCTGGCAATTTTGGTCACCTATCAAGCTGGCCTCTGAGGCAGACAAACCTCAAGCCAAGCATTGCAACTGCTGTGTGGGAACATGAGTGTGAAGGGATATACTCCATGTGAGCAGGGCCTTATCTGAATACTGCCCCTGCCCAGTGCCTGGCACAGTGCTGAGCAGATAGTGACCGAATGTATGGTGCAGGGCCCAAGGATAAGGGCCTGTTTACTTGCCTCTGTCCTCCACTAGGCCATGAGCTCCTTGTGGGCAGTGTTAGTGTCAATTTTTCCTTCATACTCCAGCACCAAGGGGAGGCCTGACAATCTTAGGCTCCCATTCAGGGGTGGAGGGGAGCGAGGGGATAGCCAGGCAGTGATGGGGCTCAGTCTCATAGGGCAAAGGCAGCCTCTCACCTGCTTCCTGAGACCAAGTGAAAGGCAAGAGCTCTGGAAAGGAGCAGAAAACTCTGTCTGGGGCCATTTAATATAAGAGCAGCACCCAACAAATCTGAGGGGTCTCTACTCTTTGTTCAAACCCTACCCTCCATCCTACCAAACAGTTCTAGCTCCCAGTTGAGGTGTACTCAGGGTGCAGGGGAATAAGCAAAACCTGGAATGGCAAACTCTGAAGGATCAATCTTGCCTAGAGTACAGTGCTCCAGGCCTCTGGACAGTCAGGGAAGAAGCAGAGTTGCAGGCAAAGGGTGAGGCCTGGCAGAGGCCCTGTTTCCTCTCCTGGTTCCCGGGCCCACCCCAGTGACTGGCAAAGTCAGAAGGGCGGAGCTGGCCTGGGTGTGGCTCCCAGTCTCTCAGCCCCAAAGAACCCTGTACCCTCAGCCTAGGGCTCTGGGGGTCAATTTTATGATGAATAGGTGGGTGAACAGTGGGTGGGAGTGAGGGGGTACAGAGGCTGAGGGAGGCTGGAGGCAGGGGAAATTTCCAAGGGGACCAGAGAAAGTGGAAGAAGAATTTCAGCAGAATTTGCAAGTCTGGATTTTATCTGAGGAATCAGACACAGAGAGACAGAGATTACTTGAGAGAAAGGGCATTCCAGGCAGCTAGGACAGAACAAGCAAAGATTTAATGTGTGAGAAATCCCCGGGCATAGTCAGTGAGGCTTGGGAGGACACTGTGGTTGGTCCCCAGGTGGGTTTGCTGGGAGAATCAACCCAGAGTTTGATGCAGTGTGGCCATCAAGGGGTGCCAAGCCCCAAATACCAGGCCAAAAAGGTCAAGGTCATGGACAGGTGCCCGAGTCTGGCTCATTCCCCTCCGGATCTTCCCCAACTTGCTGTGTGACCCTGGGCAATTCATAGGCCCTCTCGGCTTCAGTTTTCCATAAAATGGGAGTTCCCATGAGCTCCCATGACTCAGAGATAGTGGTTGGGCCTCTAAAACAGGGTGACACCCCATAAGAACGTGTCACCCCTTTTCCAAGCTTGGAAAGTAGCCTCAACCCTCAGCAACACAGGGACCCTCACAGATGCCACACACATACAGTCCTGAACTGGTTCCCAGAGCCTGGAGTTCCCCCATCCAAGGGAGGCCCTGTGTGGACACCTGTGACCATGGACATGGACCGAAGTACTCAAGTCCCACACCTGTCACCATGCACGTACCTATGGTCACCTGTGTAGAGGTGTGCAGGTTCTGTGATGTGCACGTGTGATGTGGCCTGGCCCTCATGGCTCCCCACTGCTGACCAGAGCAAGCCTAAGGACCCAACCACTCATTGGAGGCCTGTCAGGAGGAGCTGATGTCCAAGTCCATGACAGGTTCCCACCTGAACCACCTCATCTGTCTTACAGTTGATGCTAAATGCCTGGGAATGGGAGGGGGGACACGACAAATAAGGACCTCAGTCACCCCTTCTCCAAGCTTGGGAGGTAGTTTCAGCCTTAGCAACCCAGGGCCCCTCACAGATGATACTGGCAGGAAAAAAGGACCTGTCCCGGATGCTGTGTCCTCACATGACTCTGAATTCCACCCCACCCAGATGGCCTCAGAGGAGGGTGAGGTGCTAGGCTCTTGGCTGTGACTCAGCGGAAGGAAGACAGGAGTGGGGGGTGTGCTGGGGCCCTAGGGTTTTGCTTCTCATTTCTCTCTTTCTAAAGCATAGCAAGTTCCCAGAAATGAAGGTACAGAAACCCCAGACTCTCAGGGGCACTGGCTTCCCCAGTCCTCCCACCCCTAGAGGCACCACACAGGGTGAAGGGAAGCCCCTAGTCCTTGTACCCTGCTTGGGGCCTTCTTCCCACCCCAGAACCAGGGACTGAGTATCTGGAAGGTCCATGCTGTAGGTCGTGAACTCCAGAGACTTTTCAGGAGCATGCAGTCCAGATTCACTTGCTGGGACAAATGCTGGGTGAGAGGAGACACTGGAACCTTTAGGACCCGTAGGGATGGAGCAGTCAGGGTGGGCTTCCCAGGAGAGCCAGAGGCTAACCTCACCAAGAATCTGAGAGAGGGCATCCTCAGATGCCCCACATGAGTTCCTTCTCTCTCCCTTGCCCGCCTTTCCCTCTCTCCTTCCCTTCTCTTCCTTTCCCCCTCTTTCTTTTGTATTTTTAACTATTGAAAAAGCCCAATTTTAAAAAAAACCACACACAGACTCAAATGGGCACAACACCAAATTATGACCATTTAGAATCTGTCCTGTGTGTCCAGAGAACCAGATTTGGACTGAGCTTGGCATAAAGCTTCTCCTGCTGTCCCTGCGAATGAAGGAGACTGCAAGGTGGTCGGAAACACTGCTACTTTTGTAACCATTTATCTGTGAGAATCAGGGGTCACTTGGTCCTGTGCCACCAAAATCAAATACCGAAAGAAACTGGACTCTGAGGCTAACATAAGGTTCACTTCCACCCTAGCCCCCCGTTCAAACGACAGTACTCATCACTCTTCACCTTGATGGACTTAACACTAACAAAGTGCTGAGAATCTGAATTTATAAAATATATTTATGTTTAAGATGCTGTCTTTATCTTTTAAAAAAATATATTATTTGAGTTCCATGTGAAATTTAGTTTAACAGAACAAACTCCACAGCTCTAGGGGTCTGGGCAAGAGGGCTGGGCAGAATGTGCAAGAGGCAGGGTTTCCATGCAGGCAGGCAGTGGGGAGCTCTGGTCAGTTCTTGAGCTGTGGAATGCCTTCAAGAAGGGTTTTAGGCACATCCACACACTCCTCCCGGAACCACCCAGACCTGAGGACCTGTGCTTCCCATGATACAGGAGGCTTTATACCCGCTTACGCAGAGACAGGACTCACTTTTCTCACCCACCTGTCAGCTGGGAACCAGAGTCTGGGAGTCTGCCAGTCCCACCCCACATCCGGAGTACATCGGAACCTCCTTCCAGTAGCAGCCACTTTCACTGCCCTCCCCTCCCCAATGGGCCCCTCTTCTGTGGGGTGTGAAAGTCTGGCACCCGGGCAGCTGGGAGGGGGGAAAGCTCACTCCACATCTGGTGCTTTTTGTTTGACTCATCACTTTCCTCTTTGCCCTGGAAGGCCACGTCAGCCCTGGGGCCACCCCAGCTTGGCACTGGGGCCCCCCGGGGAATTGGAGCCCTGAGCTGCAGTTGGCCTCAGTTGGCCTGCTCACTCTCCTTCCAGCTGGGATGTCAGAGGACTGGGCTCAAATACTACCACAGCCACTTCCTGCTTTTGTGATGTTGGGCAGGTTAAGCCTCAGTCTTTTCATCTGTCTAGTGGGCCTAGGAAGGCGCCCAAGATATGCAGACAGGATTGATGACAAAGTATGTGTGGCACGTGGCACCATTACACATGGAGATGCCTGGTCACTGTGGTTGACAGCCCTCAGGCCTGGAAGGGTGGTCTTCTCAACTCCATCTAAAGTGCTGCCTCCAGGCTACATCCCCAAATGTTAACATCTGGATCTTCAGATACCCTGAAACTTAAATTAGGCCCCTGGTATCCAGAAATGCATTCAGAACTCATCCAAGGGCATTCACCACCATCACTGCCTTGCCCCTATACATCCCTGTTCACATGATTTCAGGCCTCCAGGCTTCTGCCTAGACTGCCCTCTCTGCCTGCTCTATCCCTGTCCTGTGCCTCATCTTCTTCAAGCCTGGTGTGATGGCAAAGGTCCAGGTCCTGGGTCATTCTGCTTGTGCCAGAATCCCAGTTCAGCCAGCACATGAGCAAGCTCCTTAGCCTTTTTCAGTTCGTTTCCTTGCCTGTAAGATGAGATGGTTCACAGACTCTGCCTTATGGGATATCTTGAGGGCGAATGAGATAATCCCAGAAGCACTTGGTTCAGGGTGCACCATTCAATCTTCATATTTTATAGGCTCTTCTGATTGATGTCATCTCCCCAGAGCCTGGCACACAGTAGGGATTGGAAGACTGAGGTCTGGGCCTATGTTGCACACAGCTCAGGAGAAGAGCCCATAGGCGTAAACACTGGGCTTCCAGAAAGCCCTCTGGGATCAGCCCTGGCAAGCCTTGCTCCTGCTCCGAGGATCCATAAGCCCAGGTGGACCACTGCATTGAGCCCTGAAGGGAGCAGCCCAGGATCTAGCTATGCTGGCCTCAGTGTCTCTGACAGTCAAATGGGCAGCAAAAGCAGCCTCAGCCTCCCTTCCAGTCCAGCTGTGTGACCTGCACCCTGCTGAGCCTTGGTTTCCTCATCATGAAGATGATTAAAAACCCAGTGTGTGAGGTAGCATGATTAAAACTAATAAATGCAAAGCAGCTGCTTGGGGCCCATCGCCCAGCAGGAGCTCAAGAAATGACGGCAAGGAGATGGAGGAGGAGGAAGGCCCAGGGAGCACTGGTCGGATACTTCGCTCAGCTGCAAGGTCCAAGGGCAAGCAAGGCCCAGGCAGCTCTAGCTTGGGTTTACTCTGCTTGCCCACACAGCTTGGCTTCACACTGACTTCCAGGAATGGCAAAGGGCTTTGGCTGCCTCTCCTGGCAGGCAGGACCACTCTTGGAAAGCAAGGCAGGGTCGGGGTCTGCAGCTGATGTAAGGCTGGAGGCTGGGAGCCAAAGAAGAGACTTGGGTTCAAGCCCCAGCCCAGGCCTGCTGAGCCTTATTAATATTCTCATCTACACACAGGGATCTTTGTGGGTGCCTCAAGCCCCAACAATCCGCTCCCTGGGCTCAGCAAGGTAGGAGATCTGATCTTTCCACTCCCCCAAACTCATGTCCCAGGAGAGGGCGACAGATTCAGTACAAGGGGCAATATGGTGGCATCCCCAGCTCTGAGAGGCAGAGTCTCTGGGAGAGACCCCAGCCTCTGGAAAGAGGCCACCAGGCCAGGCCTGCCTTCCCTGGGGCAGAGCTGGTCTGAGCCACCTCACCTTGAATCCTCAGCCATGGCCGGGGCCAAGTGGAGGCCAGCTCAGTCTAGGGCTCCCAGTGAGGCTGAGGTAAGCTCCCTTTGCCTCTCCTACTCTGTGAACTGTCAAACTGGCCTATCTTGACCATTTTCCTATAGGATGGTTGAGGGGAGTGTGTCTCGGAAGTGGAGTGGTCCCAGAATTTGAAGCTCTTACACATCTGATTCCTGATTACAAGGCCAAAGATGCCTAAAGGTCCTTTCAGCAGTGCATTACCAGTTCCCTCAGAGCAGGACCCGTTTACTTGGGGGAAATCCCACTTTCCTCACAACTACTACCAAGGCTTCAGATGGGACCCAGATCTGTCCACACACCCATTGGTGCAGTTGGGCTAATGGAGCTGACATCAGCCGTTTGGCCCTGAGGACTTTATGAGCCACAATTTGTGCATCCCAGAGCTACGTGAAGAGCCATATAAAACAGCCACACAAGCCACCCAATTAAATGACCAAGAGCCCTTGGAAGCAATGGGGGCTGAGGGCACTGCATCAGGAGTCAGGAGACAAGTGCTATATGATCTTGAGTTAGCCCCTTTCTTCTCTGTTTAAGAGAGAGGGAATCAGGGATTGGACATGTGTCTTGCTACAATTTACCCCTGCCAATACAAACAGGCCTTCTTGGCTTCATCCAAAGCATATCAGGGGACTTAAGCTGACCCTTGAACTCAGGTGTCCAGACTGTCCATCGCCCAGATTCTCAGTTCTCAGACCCAGCATGAGGCACGTCAGCCCATGTCTGGCCCCCCAGTAGCTCTCCATGTGGCTCCTGAGTTGGGGCTGTGGCTTCAGGAGCCCCAGACCTTGGCCAGGTGGGATGGTGCCTCCAGAGCCACTGAGTGTCCCTCATTCATCTGGAGTGAGGTCCTGGTCCAGGCGTGGACAGGCAGAGTCGAGGGTTCCAATTAGCCACTTCAGCTTTGGGGACCATGAGGCTGAGAATCCCAGGAATGACTAAATTCTATTCCAGCCACACAGCCCAGCCCACACCTATAGCAGGAGCTGGGCACTGCCTGGTGACTGGAAGGAGCCAAATCTCCAAGGCTTACATGGAGGGGGGAGTGTTGGCCAGAGCTGCTTTTCTGCTCCTAGTCAGGGGCTACTGCACTCATTTCACAGACATGGTACCTACTCACCCTCTGCTCATCCTTACATACTCAAGGCATGCTGGGCCAACCACATGACTCCAAGGAAGCCAGGAACAGGCTCAGATCCAGTCTCTGAGAGCATACATAGGTGGTCCTCATGCCAATGGATATGGGCCACGGAGGCCAGCTTTGCTATCTCTTCCCCAATCTCAGTCCCATTCTCCTCCCACTCCCAGTGCCCGGGCCAGACTCTCTGGGGCCCACCCTGGGCAGGTGGACAGGGGGCCTGGGCAGCTCAGGTCCCCAGATTGTAGAGGGTTCGCAACCCCCACCCCTGGCCACCTCACTGCTCAGAGGAAAAGCATTCAAGGCAGTCTATCATGCACCTCAAAAATTTTCAGTCTTTTCCCATTTCTAAATTTCAATTGCAAAGCTACTTCCATTTCTAGGTACTTGTTAGAGCAGCACTTCATTTTGGGTACCAAAATCTGTATTAGTTTCTAATTGCTGCTATAACAACCACAAATTCAGTGTTTTAAAACAACACAAATATATCATCTTACAGTTCTGGAAGTCAGAAATCCAAAATCAGTTTTACCAGGTTAAAATCAAGGTCTTGGCAAGATGGCATTCTTTCTTGAGGCTCTTGGGGAGAATCCATTTCCTCGCCTTTTCCCCTGTGATTACACTGAGTCCACCTGAATATTCCAGGATAATCATTCCATCTCAAGATCCTTAACTTAATCAAATCTGCAAAGTTCCTTTTGCCATGTAAGGTAACACACTCATAGGTTTGGGGGATTAAGATGTGGGTATCTTTGGGGCTATCATCCTGCCGACCACAGGAGGGGGAGGGTTGCTTTGACAGTCTCAATCCCTGCCCAGACGGCCTGTCCCAGAACCGAGGGGTCATGAGGCGGGGATCAGACTGCTGTTCTGGCCAACACTCTGGCTGGGCCCCAGAGCTCCAGGAAACCTGGCGCCCGCCCCTGCTCCCGCCAAGGACAGCCTGTACTCCTGGCGTGGCCACTGTGCAGAGATCAGGTGCACTTGAGCCCTCCTAGTGGCTATGGCTCAACCCAAACAGCTGCCTGGCTCGGGTGGGAGGCTAGGCCCTCAGAGCTTCCTCTCTCTGCTGCCCAGAATATGTGAGAGCTGCTGTCAGGTCAGATGTGAGCCACATGGGAAATTCCAGCTCCATTCTAGAAAATGCACATACTATAGGCTTACTGGTGGACATTCACTGAGCTTGCAGTATGCTAGATCCATATGGGACCCCAGAGATGAGACAGACACAGAAAGGTTCCAAACGCATGGGGTAGAATGTCACTGGTACCGGTAGAAGGGAGAACACAGAGGTCAGAGTGGGTGTTCCAGAGGAGACAGCATTTCTGTTGGGACTTGAAGAAAAGAATAATCTTGGACTGGAAGTGGTAGGCAAAGGCATTCCTGATGAACGAACTGCTGGGGCAAGGGGAAGGAGGGGTGTGTGGGGAATGGAGAGCTCTATAGGGAGGCTGGAGTCCAGAGCAGTGGAAAAAAGAATCCCAAAGTGAATAGGGAGGGTCATGCTGGCCCGAATAGGTTAAAGCAATTCTCAAAGCCAATCAGCAGTGGAACACTTTGTTCTGATGGACGCTTGCTCAGAGCACTGACAGGGCTTTGGGAGGGCTCCCCAGGGCCCTTCTCATAGCCATCCCACCTCTTCAGACCTGGACTCTGCAGGACACAGAGATCACACTCAGGTCATGGGGAGCTACCCAAGGGCTTAAGCGGGGGACTGACAGAAGTTAATGGCCCAGGGTCCAGGTGGAATAGGGGAGAGAAGAAAAGGCACATTTCAATAAAGGAGCTAGACAGGACCCATGGAGAGAGCCATGGCAGCTGGGAAAAGCATCCAACTGTGAGGCAAAGTCTCAGTTTCCTCTACTATCAGAAGAGGGGAGGGAATTGCTCTTCCAGAGTACAGTCATCAGGGACTCCTACCCCTTTGCCTGTGCTCAAAGGAGGCTGGGCAAGTAGCAGGCACATCCCTCAAGACCTCAGGTGCCTGCAGAACCTAGATTCCACCATCAGCCCCACGTCCTCCTGCTGTTCTGTCTCTAGGGCTCCACAACACATGCTAAAGGAGGCAGCTCATCTCTGGCGCTGGCACCAGGAGAACGGAGGAGATAGGGTGAGTGAGACTGGTTTTCCCTATGCTAGAGGCACTGGTTACTCTGGCTTGGACCTCAGGGCACTCAGGTCCTGGTGAGGAGGGAGAGGAGGGACTAAGGGGAGATCTGGCTGCCAAGCTACCAGCCCCTTAGTGGCTCCATTTCCAGAGGGCAGAGAGAAGTCAAGAGCCCAAGACTCAAACCCCTGCCTTTCCTCCTTTCCAGACTGCTGTGTCTGTCTGCCTTGTGTTGGTGCCAAGCACAAGAAAAGCATGAGAGTACAGAGCCCTCCCTGTGTCTGCCCTCCAAGGCAGGCAATGGAGGTACTCATAGTGCCCCATGAAAGGTGCAACCCATGGACTCCTGGCAATCATATTAAGATAAAGCGCTTGATACCATTTCTCAGATTTGGAAGCCAAGGCTGAGGGAGGTGAAGTCATCCACCCAAGGTCACATCTAGCGAGGGGCAGATGTCAGGATCTGCATCCAGGCTGGTGTGGCTCCAACACTGGAGCTCAATGTCCAAGTCCCAGTCAACCCATGGCTGCAGGCTTGAAGACCCACCCTGCCGGTCCACTTGGCCTGAACCTCTTCCCCAGGGGAGTCAAGCCCTATAGAAGGAAGGTGTCCCAAGGGTGGCTCCTGTTTCAGTGTCCCCAGCTGCCCCTATACTGTCACTTCCCATCATCACTCTCTTGGGCTGTGATACTCACATGCTTGCCAAGGTTCTTCCTCAGTAATGAGCCTGAGGCCAGGAGGGTTAGACCATCAGGGAAGCCATCACTGGTTGAGGAGTGGCCCAGGCTGTGGGACAAGAAGGTAAGAGACTGCTAGGTCAAGGCAACTGCCCTGAGATGCCGCTGAAGACAGCATCAATAGTCAAAGGGCACAGGTAGGAGGAGAGAAAGGGCAACACTGGTGAGGCAGGCAAAGGTCTGAGAGTATATGGGGGCTCAGAAAGCCAGGCATCTCGCCCTGCTGTGTCCCATCCCGTCCTTCCAGGTCCTTCTGGAGCAGCCATGAGGATAAGTCCCTGGCTCCTCCTCAAAGGAAGCTAGAGGCAGTTTAGGGTCCATGCAGCTAGGGCTGGGCAAGAAGCAGGATACTGGGGCCCTTGGGCTGCAGTGTGGCCTCTGCTAAGGCAAACGCAACCCCTAACCACAGCGGAGGAGTCGCTCAGGCCAGGTATAACTCCAGCAATACAGACCCCCCCAGGGCAGGGACCTAACTTTCCATCTCCATTGGACTTCCTCCCACTATGTGACCTCAGGCAGGCCATGTCTCCTCTTGTGGAGTCCATGCCTCGGGAGTGGGCACTCAGATACCAGCTACACCCTTCAACTGACTGACTGAGAGTAAAATGAGGCTGCTACCTTGCACTGACCTTGGAGCCAACCTCTCACAGGGAAGGGAGCTGCCAAGGTCCCACTGTAAAACACAGCCCTGGAAACCAGCATCCTGGCTCCATCAGAGGATGCTGCCCACTGGACCACACTGCCTCTGGCCACTGCACCACCAGGTCAGGCCCTTGAAAGTGACAGGTTGGAGGAATGGGAGAGGGGAATACAAAAGAATGCACCAGCCTGGTCCACTGTGTTTCTCAGGACCCACTCTGATGCAGGCTAACATCAGCACCTGCCAACCTGGAGGTCTCCTGCCACTGTGGACAGAAGGGCTGGGCCTTCAGGCCTCCTGGCAGCCACAAGTCTGTCAACCAGAGCTGGGGTGGAGGTCAACCTTGTGCTCACCACCTCAGCTTCTCACTCTCCCCAGCCCCAACCAGGGATAGATGGGATATCAGAAACCCCAAGGCTGACTTAGAAGGAACATTTTAGCTAAAAACTATGGGAATAAAAAGTAAAACAAGCCCTGCTCACCCCCTCCTGTTAAATGAATGTGGACACGTGACCCCAGAACTGTGCAGCAAGACCCCTCAGCCCCCTCCCCACCAGAAAGTAGGCAGCCACCCCCAAGCTCAAGCTCAGATGCAATTACTGTGCTGAGTCTAGACCCAGTCAAGGGAGTGTGCTTTAGTGCACCTGGGGCACTGGAAGGCTAAGCCAACCCCTGGGAGACAGGAGCTCAGTGCCAAGTGCCCTGGCATCTGAGGCCAGGAGGAGCACAAGTGACCTTCTCCACACTGCACCCCACACCCCCACCAGGTGGGGCCTGACAGCCAGGCCCGCTGGGGCAGAAGGAAGCTCTTACCCCAGCACTGCCTAGGGGCAAAGGGTCAGGGGACCCACAAACCACAATAACAAAACATTAGGTCACCACTTGCTGGTCTCTTGCTACTTTATTGGCTGTATCTCTCAACATCCCCAGAGCAACTCCACCCACAGAGACACTGAGCAACCTGCCTTTGCCACACTGATGTGATAGAACCAGATTGGGAACCTGGGTCTGCTCAGCTCCTAAGCTGGACTGTGGGTACCCTTGCTTTTGGCTGCCCCAGGAAGGACATCCCTGCCCTTGCTTCTACCCTCAAATCTCCTAGAAATGTAGAACATGGGGAATCACAGAGCCACAGGAAGTGCTGCAAGCATCTGAGGTTCTGGAAGGCACCACCCACCTCCCTTAAAGTAGCATTCCAGGTAGAAGTGTCAGCCAGCCACTCTGGGAGGCTGGGGCACTGGCCAGGCATCTGCAGGGCAACCACGCTGTGGCCTAGACCTCTGGATATGCAGGAACCGGGGCCTAAGGAGACAGAGACAAGGGGGCAGTCACTGTCTGGGCCCTGGGGAATGAGCTGGGTGTGGGAACCGCACACTTGCCCCACAGCCAGAGCTGGAATAGTCAGAGCAGAAGGACCAGTGTGGCTGTGGGAGCTGGGGGTGGGGTAGAGCCTCACCTCCCACAGAAATCCCGGCGCACAGTCACGAGATCGAGGAACAGGTCTGGCCGGCTCTGAAGCCAGCTGCCAACGAGCTCTGGGTGTCTTGGGTCCACTTCTAAGAAGATGCTTCTATATGGGGGAGAAATGGGTCAGCTCAACTGGGCAGTGCTGGACCTGCACTTCTGGGTTGCCTGAGCTGGGAGGAGTAGAGGTAGAATGATGGCCAGGGCAGGCCCAGTACATACTGGGAGGGAGAGGCTGCTGAGGTTAGACCCAGGAGACACCCCATCCATACCCAGAGTCCTTCAGGAGTCGAGGTGCCAGGGCCAGGATGTGGGAAATGATGTCCATGCCCTCCTCGCCACCATCCAGGGCTACTGGGTCTTCATAGCTGAAGGGGAAAACGGTGGGAGGTGAGGGCCTGGGATGGCTGTGGAGAAGCTGAGCAGGGCTTCCACAAAGAGGGCTCTATGGAACTCACGCTCTAGGCTGAAAGGAGAGTCTGAGGACCCAGAGGGGGAGCCCCCAAATGATGGCAGCTCCAATTCCCCTACCTCTTATAGGCAGCCTCCCACCAGGCAGTGCTGGGAGTGCTCAGTGATCCGTAAAGAATGACAACGTCCAGGGCATGAGGGCCTCCCCACAACAAAGATGTTCCTATTCTTGGCCTGGGGAGGCCTAGAGCTGGCCCTGACTACTCCTGAGAGCCAGCAAAGGGGAAGCCAGCCCCTGATTCTCAGCCTCTGAGAGCAGGATGGCTCAGTGCAAAGCCTGGAGTAGAGTCTTAGTCCCAGCTTTCCTGCTAAGCCCCCACACGAGTTTGAACAAGACCCTCTTGGCCTCAGTCTTCTGGAAAATGATGCACCCATCCGAGCACCTTCTAAGTACTGTACACCACGTCTGATATTTTAGTCATCACTGAGTCCTCTCCATGGCCCTGCAAAGCTCTACCACTCCCTTTTCAGAGGCAGGAAACTGAGGTGCGAGGGGTTCAGTGGTCTTAAGTGGGAAGGTAGAAGCTGAACCCAAATAGGTCCGTGGGTTCCAGAGTGAGCCTCTCTTTCAACACCATTGCCCCTTTCAGCCCCCTAATCTCCCTATCCCCCTGGTGTGGTCCTCCAGGACAGATCCATCCCACTAGACCTTCTCAGGCCTGGCCTCCCTGGTCTACCACACACCTGAGGATCTCAGGGGCCAGCTGCTCCATGTCCCGGTGGAAGACATAGGGAGGGTTGCTGACGATCAGGTCCACGGGGCCCCAGGGTAGAAGATGTGCCCAGCTGTCCTCTGTGGTCAAGGGGAACAAACAGCAGAGAATGGGAGGTAAAGGGTGGTAGCTCCAGGCACCACCATGTCCCTTGGGTAATCCCTCTTTCCAAGCCTATCGCTGAACCCGATAAACTAGACTTACAGATTACTGCCCAGGGTCCCCAGTCAGCAGCCTGGCTGGGAATGTGTATGCTGTGACATGGCGGTTCTCCCCCTGGAGCGTCCCTGCCCTCTCTTCTTCCTGTTAAAAATCTCCTCAATAAGCAAGACTCAACTCAAGTGCCACCTTGCGGCAGCCATCTCTGATTGCCTGCGCAAAGCAAGAGCCTCTGTCCTCTGCAGCCCCAGTGGCCTTGCCACTCCACCTCATAGCCAACACGGACTAAGTGTATGGAGGGCAGGCCTGGCCTCAATTGATTCCTGGTGACTTTGTCTACCGGTCCCATCCTGAGCCAAGTGCTATACCAGCTGTACACTCCATGGAGGGGGCACACGAACTCAAGGATCCTGTGGACAAGTGATGGGACCAGAACTGGTGCCAGGGCCCCCAAGGACACTCTGTAAAGGCAGAGCCCAAGTTGTGTTGTGCTGGGGCCTGACAGGGGCAGGGGGACACTCAAGTATCCTGGTCCCAAAGGCTTTCTCTTGAGCTTCTGCTTATCTCTTGACAACAAGCCCTAGGTACGGGGATATGGAAGGTAAGGAAGACACTGAGGCTGATCTCTTCATGGGTCAGGTCAGCCTAGGAGGCAATAGGGACTTGCCTGTCCTCAGCAAGGACTAGTCTGAGATACCCCCAGTGTGTGTGTGTGTGTGTGTGTGTGTGTGTGTGTGTGTGTGTGTGCACGTGCGCATGCGTGTGAGAGAGCGAGGAAGGCTGGGGAAGCCCTCCCTCTACCACTGCAGAGTGCCTCATCCATCCAGCAGCACCTGTACCCAGGATCCCCACCCAGGGAAGATGGGTGAGGAAGGTACCTAAGGTCACATCGAGGGGGATGATCCGAATCCTGTCCTGCAACTGAAGCCTGGAGAGATAGGAAAGTAAAAGTGAGTATGGTGGGGTCGACTCCTACTCTTGACTAGAAGAATAAACCCTTCGTGGATCAGCAATATACCTGGTTCCCACTGTTCATTTGTAACCCTGTGGGACCCATGCCAGGCCACCCCAATTGCCTCCTCCTTCTTGGGTGTGGACAGTGCTGGGTTTGATACTTGCATAGGGGTTCAGATCAGGCCCCTAAGTCTGACTTCCCCCAGCCTGACCCTCTATCTCCAAGACCACCTACCTGTGAGCATTCTCATTGGCCAGGCAGATGGCAGCTTCTCCCTTGTCCACAGCAATGACTTGGCTCTGCCCCAAGAACAAAGGGTACATGGGAGGCAGGGTGCTTGGAGAAGCCAGGCCTTGGGACCAGAGCCCTCCTCCAATTCCCTACTAGAAGAGGAAGGAAATTATCAATAGCTTTTTCCTCTCTGTGGCCAGGGTTAGGCCAGATAGAAGGGGATGGGAGCTGGAATCTGTGACCTCTAAGAGCTCTGTCTTCCTCCTACTTCCAGTCATTCCCCCTCAAGGGCTTCTAGCAGAGATGGGTTGGGGAGACATCAGCAGGAAGGACAGTAAGTGCCAGTCACAGTCTACCCAGGGTGGGGGAGGGATGCACAGGGGGCTCACCTGGGGGAGCTTGCTCAGCAGGCTGAGGGAGATGGCTCCTGATCCACAGCCCACCTCCAGGATGAGGGGGCCACCTTGGGCTCTCACCACACGGGATCTTTGGGTCACCTCTTCCAGCACCCATTCAACCAGTTCCTACAAGGTAGAGAGATCTGGATCAGAGCTGGTGCTGACCTAGCCCCTGCAGGTCTTGGCACAGAGCCGAAGCATGGTTAGCCCCTTTGTGAATATAGAAGGGAGGTGGCTAAAGCCAGACTGAACTTCATGTCAGCTGAGGCCATAGGTGGGTCACTGTCTCTCCGTGCCTCCACTTCCCCATCTGTAAACTTGAGCACAGTTGTGGATAACCCACCTCACAGGGGATGGGGGTAGTTTAAACAGAACCACATTCATGAAGCATTGATTTCAGGCTTGATACATGGTAAGTGGTCAGTAAGCCCTCGCTAATCCCTTCAGAGATATCTTCTCGTTTTGTGCTCAAAGCAGTGCTAAGATGGTCCCTGGCCACCTCCTCTCCTGGCCCTGCTTCCAGAGCTTCCCCTATACTAATCTGTTAGATCCTCACAACCAGTCCATAAGGAAAGTAAGGCCCAGAGGTTAAGGCCCCGCCTGGAGCCTGGCCTGCAGCTCATGGTGGCCAAGAATCAGGGGTCATTGTGTCCCTAGCTTCCTCATAGCCTCCCCAGAGAAGCTCCTAGGCTGAAAGGATGGAGAATTCCCTCCATGGAGGGATGGGGAATGACACAGTCCCACCTGAGTCCTATATCTGAAGTGGGCTATGGTATACATAGGGCAGCGGGTAAGTGGGCGCACATGGAGGGAGGTGCCTAACTGCACCGTACCTGCCTTGGTGGCAGAGGGATACTTTCAGACGCTGTTTACAAACAACAGAGTTTCAAGTCTCACCTATCCATCTGCCACCTGCAGACTGTGCATGGAAGCCATTATAGGGTGGAGGTGAGGGTGGAGAGATGCTGCCCAATGGCCAAAATGTTTCTAAACAGCAATACAGTAGGGGCCCAAGTAGCCAGGCATGGAGCAGGGAAAGGGCAGTGTGGTCCCTTCTCAAAGGTGCCCCTTTGGATAGAGCAGGAGAGGTTCTGGGGAGGCTGGGGACTCCTGGGATTCCAGGCAGGGCTGACTCAGGGAATGATGGGAGGGGTCAGCAAGTAAGCGTTTCCCTCATCTGAAATAGGTCTACATTCTTCAGAAAGGCTTCCTCAACCCCCACCAGGGTCTTTCTTCACTATGTGCCTAACATCTAGGATGGGGTCTGCCTCTCCCGCCAGACTGAAGGCTCCATGATGGGAAGACTAGGGACCTAACCCATCACGGTGTGTCCCACATGAGCAGGGCTTGGCCCACAGAGGGGCCTCTAGGTTTGGCTACTTCTCAAGTGCTGGGCCAACTCTCACTCAGTTCAGTGGCCACGGGAAGCTACCCTCTGAGTCTCAGACCTCCAGGTCCCCTCAAGCTCTCAATGTCAACAGTTAGGGCCCAACAGAGCAGAGGGCTCTAGATCACTCAAACCCATTTTCCACATAAGCTCCTCAGTGCTAAGTCCCCAGAAGTATTTCATCCTTCCAGGCACGCCAACCAGGAGTAAAGCTCACCTGTCCCCAAAGGTAGCAAGTCCAAGGCAGGTAGAACTTGATCAGTGGGTCTAACCCTTCCTATTCCAAGCCCCTTCTGCACCAAACAGTCTGTCTCCAGTCAGAGAGGGCTTTCCATCACTCACTCCCACTGGCCCTATACCAGGCACTATGGAGACTTAGGATGCCAGCAGCGAGCTGGGCCCACAGCACTGGGACCGGCACAGAGTGAGCAGTCGAGGGCTGTGGCCGAGTGTCTGTGGTCTCAGTGGTGAGGTCACATACTGAGTGGCCAAATGGACAGCTGAGACTTGTCAGGAGCATGAGCTTCCCTTGGTTTCCTGGCCACAGACAGATCTACCCTGGCTGGAGAATGACCCCTCAGCCAACCACACTGGCCAGCCACCTCACAGAGACACCTCGATCTGAGAGGCACACATCATATATGTGAATGACTACCTGGGTAGGGTGTGAAGCTGAGACTGGGCTCCCACTGTCATCAGTGCCCTCTTGTCTCTCTCTGACATTCCAGACCATGAGGGGATCATCTTGGCTATGGGATCACCTGGGGGTGGGTAGGGGTGGAGATCACTCCCAGCAAGTTCAGAAACTCTCTTGCTTGCCTAGTAAAGAACCTCCTCAGCCTAAAGTAGGTAGGTTCCTTGGGGAGGCTGAAAGCCAGGCTGGTCACAGGCCCAAGGCACCACATCCAGGTGAACAAGAGAAGAGCACAGTGGGGTGGGGGCAGAGGGGCAGGTGGGAAGAAGGCAGAGAGCAGGCCGCTGTTGGCTCTGCCTGGAGCCACTGCCTCAACAGGACTCCACAGCCCTCAAGAAGTCAGCCCAAGGCCTCAGCAGGACATGAGTGCCATGAGCGCCTTCATTAGGATCACACTCCTGACGGGCAGCCCCAGGAAACTGGCATTGCCTCTCTCAAGCTAATCACAGATAGGGCACAGAGCCTCACCTCACCAAGCTGGGTGACAATGGCTCACACTGCCAAGCCAGGGACTGAGGCACCTTCCCACCCTCAGGGAAAATCCAACTCGTCAGGCCACATGCCACCTACAACTTTGCATTTTAGAATTTTGCACTCATCATCAGAAACCACCCTACAATGGATGGAGAGAATGCAGGCAACTTGGTCCTTCCCCTGCACTCATTCTCCCCACTCCCTGCCACAGGCCACGTCCTCTCAAGTTCCTGGTAAAGCACCCCCCCAATGCGGCTTCACACTGGGGCAAATCTGGCAAGTTCTGAGAAATGTCTGTACAGTGAGGCAAGGATCTAGCCTCCAACCGCAGCCTCCCTCCTCCCCTCAACCCCCTGCAGCAGAGCTGTTCTCCTGGCCCAGACCCACCCAGGAAAGCGGGGCCCCCACATGGGAGCCGGAAGTCCACACCCAACATTCAGTACCCTGAAACACATGGTTGGTGCCAGGTCAGCTCTGAGGGGACACAAAGGTCATCAGGGTAGCTTCCCTCCCATGCCCTGACTCTTGGCAGCCTCAGGAGAGACTGAGTGACCTCCTGGCCAGAGGTCATATGCTTGGGGGAGCCACGGGCTGACCTCCCAAAAACCTGCAGGTTGCAGGCCATATCCTGCTCTGGGTCTCTGCACTCATCCCAGCTCATCCAATCTGAGATGGGGCAGCCCCATGTGAGGTATGGGGCCCTGATCCAGAAGTCAGGATGTCCAAGTGCTGCCCCCATGCTCCCTGCCTTGGCAGCCCTGTGACTTCAGCAAGGTCTCAGACTCCCTACCGTCTCTGCCCTGACACTGGCAGTACAGTGAGGACTTGGCCTCCCAAACACATGATGTACAGGAGCAGGTGGGGTCAGAGGGTTTCTTGGCTGAGGAAGAGAGGCTCGGAAAGTGAGGAGGGGCTCTGGGTCCCTGGCTGGGGCAGGTGGATGAGGCCTGATCTTTCCCAGGAATGTGTGTGCCTTTCTAGAAACATCCCTTCTCAGAAACTGGTGCCCTCTGGCTTGCCCACCAGCCCCACCCACATATCCCTCTACCTGCTCTGCTCTCACTGGCTCCCAGCTCTGCCACCTCCAAGGTCAGGAAGAAGCCCAGAAAGGGCCACAGAAAGCATCTCTCCCAGGATCAGGGTGCCTCACCTAGAGATAGCATGCTGGGACCACACACTTTCCAATCCTAGTAATTTGAGAGACACAGGAGATTACTTGACTAGATAGTGGGTGTAAAAGGTAAAAAGATCCCAACAATTCCCTGGTTTGGAGGCCCAACCCTCTCATCATCTGGGCCCAGAGGGGGCAGTGACTACTCGAGGTCACAAAGCTGTATCAGCTTTCCAGATGTCCAGCTGGAGCCCTCTTCACTTTGTCCATGCCTCCTGAGGAAGAGGTGGGCACTTATTTCCCGGGGCTGGGTAGGCCAGGGGCCCACTGGACAGCTCCTGGGGAAATGACAAGAACAGGCTGAGCACTTGGTGGGCAGCACTAACTGGGGCACCCTGAGCCACTGCCAGCCTAGGGACTGGGACAGTAGCTTGAGATATGAGGACAGTCAAGGAGGCCAGCAGGAGACGTCTTTCCTCTTGGCCCCACCTACCCAGCCAGCCAGGAAGGGCACTGCCTCTAAAAGATAGCAGCCATGGGGCCCCAGCGCCCCCTGGAGGAAGTCTGGGACAAGACAGGTGCCTTAAACCCCCTTCATTCCCATCCTGCCCTGTCCTGGAGGCACACTAACCTCTGTTTCCGGCCGAGGGATGAATACTGGGGGCACCATCTTCAGACTGAGCCCCTGAAAGTCCCACTCACCAAGGATGTACTGCACAGGCATCCTGCAGAGGGGGCAGAAGGGTATCATCAATGCCAGAGCCTGGACCAACAGGACTATGTCTGGGTTGAGGGATACTGTGGCCAAAGGTATTGGGTAGAGTCATGTCTCCTGTGCCCAAGAACTCCTAGCCAAGGCCTTCCCTCCCTCCCTTCTTCCTATTTACTACCATGACCCCTCTCTTGTCACTCCCTCATCCCATCACCTCCTTAGTCCTTGGACTCTTTCTTCCTCCCTGACCATGGACTTGGTGGGGCCGAAGGGAGCTGGACCCTGCTCCCTACACAGAGCCCTCAAGTTTGGCTCATGGGTGCTCACCTTTGCAATCGGTAGCTACTCAGCTCCTGGATATACTGTAGCTGCCAAGGTGTCAGGGGCTGGGTCCAAAGTTCTGGCCTCAGGCTCTGAAACTGCCCCACAGAGAATGTGAGTGGCTGGCTCCCCTGATCCAGGTTTCTTTTGTGGACAATGCCAGTGGGTCCAACACTAGCCACCTTGGTCATCCCTGAACCCCTAGTGCCTGGCACACACTGTAAGTTTCTTGGATGAATGAATAAGTATCTGCCCAAGACACTCCTTCAGAAAAACCCCATCATCCTCAGCTCAGCACTGTCATTGGAGTGAAAAAGCCTAGATGTCTCTTCCCCAGGGTCCTCCCTCCTCCTACTTCCTGTCCTCTTGACAACACTGCACTTAACTGTTTTGGCTCCAAGGACATGAGCCACGATGTACTCACTGGATTCCCGGGCCTCAGGGATACCCCTTTTCTCAAAGACTGCTGTCCAGTGGTTGACCAGCTCTGTGACATTCAACAACCTAGCCAGAGGCAGATGAGGCCGCCATGAGGTGAAGGTGCAGCCCCAAATGCCTCCCCTCCACCCTAGGCCAGACAGGAGGGCCCTCAGCATTCTGTCCCAAGGATCCCTTGAGCACTCCTCAAGGTCCCCAAGTCCTTCTTGTGATGTCAGCTGCTGAGGATGGTGACTGGCCCCAGCTGGGTGTAGATGGAGAAGTCACAGGCTCTGGCTCCTCAACATGGCTCTGGTCCTCAGATGTGGCTGTCACCCTGGAATAGGGAAGGAGAACCGGGAGAGTAGCTGAGCCTTGTATGACTCACCCTTCTCTGACCTGTTGCCTGAGAAAGGGCATGCTCTTGCTCTGTTACCTCCTTGACTCCATTTTAGCCCCTCACCCATCTATTTCATTCTTCTCATCTTGGCCAGTGATGTTTTCTTCACATCTTTGGCTGAAGTGATCTGAACCCATAGCTCAGTCCCTATTAATAAATGGGCCAGTGTGGATCAGGGCCCAGGCTTGGGGGTTAGACAGATCTACTTAACCCAGCAGGTGTGACTTTGGGAAAGTCATTATTTCTGAGTTTCAGTTTCCTCATCCTTGAAATGGGGAAAATAACATCAGCTCCATGGCAAGCAGTGCATCAGTCAATGAATGTCAAGGACCTAGAAGCCAGCTCAACACAGAGGGACTCAATGTTGCACGCTCTTAACAATACTACCAAGGGGAGGAGACTGCCTTTGCTTGGGAGCTTTGCTTCGGACATTTTGCACGTACTGTCATTGATTTATATGCTGGAAATCCCCTCCCCCACCATTTAACCCGTAATTCTAAACATTAGCCAAAAATGCCACCTAAAAACTGACAATTTTTGTTAATTTTATATTTATCACAAATTTAACTGAAGATTTTAAATCAGTGGTCTCCTTTCCTTTCACAGAGACCAAGCTTGGTTCAAACTAGCCTTTACTGAACACCTGCTAGGTGGTGCCACATCTTCAGGGACAAGCAGAGAAGAAAAGGAGACTCCGAGAGGAAAGTAACTTGCCCAAGGTCACCAACTAGGAACTGTCCCAGGCAAGACCCAAGTCCTTCGCACTCCAGAGACGGCTCTGTCCACCAGAGTGCTGCCTCGAGAGGCCCGAAGTCAGGGGTGCAGTTTCCCTCAGTGTCGCACAGTATCGTTGACACAGGCGAGGTCGCCTCTCCCCAGGCCTATTTTTCCAATTGCACACGGGGAAAGGGGGGGTCTCGAGTGTGTTCCTCATACTTGCCTGAAGCGTTACCTCACTCGACTAAAGAGATTGCCGCGGGCTCGTTTCCCGGACGTGCGTGGGCCGCGATGAGCTCCTTCCGACGCCCCGCTTCCGGGATCGGCGCAGCTGAGCAAGGGCTCGGGCAGATCCCGTCACCCAGCTCCAGGGTTCCTAGAGCCGCTGCGTTCCACCTCGGAAGCCCCAACGGGCGGGTGAGGGAGGACATGAACGCCACGCCCACTATGCCTGCAGGCCCACGGGTGGGAAAGTGTGTGTTGTGTCTAGGGTTGCTCCCCGAGGGCTCTGAACGGACAGTCTTCCTGAAAGTCACAGCATGGATAGGGCTCCAGCCTGCGGTGGCTTCTCCGAGACGGCGTTCTGGGTACCCGGATGGGGAGGTGTGTAGCCAGCTCAAATCCAGGCGTATCAACAGCCGCGAGACCCAGCGGCGTGGCCTAACGTAGTCTGTATGTCGAGAGGGCCGCACTGGGGCGGGTCCCACGGTGGGGGGTGGGTACCAATTTGGGGGGAGGGACCCAGCGTCCAGGACTTGAGGTCCAGGTGGTTGGTGACTGGACATCAGGGTCGCTCTTGACCCTTCAGCTCCCGTTTAGGTTTGGAGCAGGGAGATCGAAACTGGAAGTAGTAGACCATGGTTTGAAGTCTGATTCGTCGGGAGACTTTGTCCAGGTGCAACTCTGTGAGCCTCAGTTGCTCCTTTAAAAGTCATGATAGTGTCCCGCGAAGTGTGGCCTGCTAATGCTACCCCTTTGCCCTCGAATCTATTAACTAAATCACTGTTAACTAAACTACTATTAAACATACAGTTTCCCGGGATCCGTCCCAGACTGGAGGGTCTGTATTTGTTAACAAGCTATTCGGGTGATCCCCATAAGCGTCTTTGAAAACCTGAGGATTATTAGAAGGTATCTGAAGGCTCCTCCCCAGAGATGATTACGCTTTGTATAGAGGGGTGTATGTAGGCTTGCCTGGGTCCAGGTGACCAATATATCACTCCAGTCATTATACCATCCCGCCCCCAACTTCTCTTAAGATGCTCCATTTCTGTCCCGGAGTGGGTGTCGTTTATTAAGAGCCCTTATACCAGAGCTAATCTAAGCTGGAAGCTGAGATCCATGGGGACAGAAGCATCTTGCTCTAGGTCACAAAGCTAGTGGTGGGTCGAGCCAGAGTTCGACGCAGGCTCAAAGACTTCCAGTCTAGTGTTCTCCCCAAACCTGCGTCCACCTGCATTTGGGGAGCGGGAGTCTATCCTGGAGGAGGTGGAGCTAGGGCTAGCAGGAGGCCGGAGTTCTGGCGCTTACGAAGGGCCTGGCCCCACATCATCCCCGGCGGGACTCCGGCATATGCCGTGAGGAGTGGGGGGTGGTCTCCAAGAACAGCCACCGGGCTCCGGCTCCTGTTGGGGGCAGAGCCAGATCCGAGCGGCAGGCAAGCGGGCCAATGCAGGGCGGTCTCTGGGCCTGACAGCCAATCCGGGGCCGGGGGCGCGGAGCGGCCAGGGAGGAGAGGAGCAGGAGCTTGGAAGACCCGCGAGGCTGCTGGCCTCGACCCCACCCCCACGGTGAGTCCCAGCCCTGCCAGTCCCGGGCCAGGCTGGCAGAGCAGGCGCTCTCGGCTTGCGGGCGGTGCGACGTCGCGGGCCCAGCCCAGGGAGGTCCACCCAGGGAGGGCGGACCTTGTGTCGGATCTGTCGCCTCCCACCCTGGGCCTGGGGAGTTCCCCCCATCCCGCCCTGGCATCCTGCGGGTCGCCACCACTCCTAGCGTCTTCGGCTGAGCTCGGCGCCCCAGAGAGGATTAAGTAAGTGCTGAGGTCACCACTTCTGTGCAAGAATGGAGGAATCAGAGTCGCGGAGGTGGGGATGGGGATTGGGGCAGGGAGGACTGATGAACCTGGTGGAGAATGGTTTGCCAGTTCTTGGGTTCTTGGAGGTCGTGGTTCCCACCCCTTTCTCCCTGGTTTCCTTCACTTGTCCTTTGGACTGTGAGGCAGTCCCCAGCAGTGATGAGCCCTTTCTCTCGTTTGAAGGGAGGAGTAAACAGAGCCCCAGAGCAAATGCTAAGGGTCTAGCCCAAGGTCACATCTGGGGTCAGTGACAGAGCCAAGAAAGAACCTGGGTTTCTTGACGTGCCCAGTGTAGCTGGAGGAAAAGGACAGAGAGGGACAACGAGCCTCTGCCATCACGTATCCCTGTGCCAGCCTTGCTCCTTCCTAAGAGGCCATCGTGGTTGTGTGCACACCTCACACACCCATGCACCTATACAGGGAGGCACCCCACGTATACCCATGAGCTGGCGCACCGAGATGTTCATGCAGCCACGAGCTGTGCATCCCTCCTCTCCCTAGGCCTGCCCTTCTGCAGTTTGGCTGGGACCTCTTCCCCGTTGCTTGCCTAGGGCCCTTTGGCCTGGGAAGGCCTAAGTCACACCCTGGACTGGGTGCATCTCCCACCCTCTGCTCCCAAGGGAGGAGGGAAGGGGAAGAGAAGGCATTTCAGAGTGGAAGTTCCATCTTTCCCTCTGAAGATATGCTCCCCTTGATTTTCTCCTAGTCCTTGACAGCCCCTAGCTCTAGGGGGTTCAGTTACCCCAAGAGCCTACAGAGAAGCCCTGCCAGAGGACCTGACCTTAGCCTCTCTCTCCTTCCTGTCTTCTGGTCTCACCACACCTGTCCCTGCCCCAACTCCAAGTACAGGCTGGACCACACAGCAGGCTGGGTTCAAGGGCTTCTGTGGCTCCCCTTTTGCAACTGGGTTGCCCAGGGGTAGAAGATCTAACATTTATTGGCTGCTTACTGTGGTCGAAGTTTGTGCTGAGCCAAGTCTTTTCTAGGGGCTGGTTCATTCTGACATTTCAGTGACTCTCTTACCTTTTCTGTGTGGGAGATGCTCTTAATATCTCCACCTTAGACTCAGGAAAACTGAGACACTGAGGGGTGGGAGTGACTTCTCTAGGGTCAGTTAAGTGGCTGAACTGGAGTTCAAAGACAGGCGTGTCTGACTCTTGGGCAAGTGTTTCCCACTAGGAAAGGAAAAAGCTGCAGAATTTTTTTCTCCAGACAGGAGGTGAGGGATGTGGGGTGCAGAGAGTGAGAGATGGGAACATGGGGAGTGGGGAGTGACTTTTTCTTTCAAACCTCTCCACTACCTTTCACATCTTCCAAGTGTGATCACTATGATCCTCTTACCCACAAAGAGGGGGCAGGGCTTCATTTCAGGTTCCTAGATCCACAGGGGACCCATGGATATAGAAAACACATGTCCTGATGTCCCCTGAATTTGCCCTTGCCCTCAAACTTCTGTTTCTCCTGTGTCTTAAGAACTTAGGGGACTTCACCTCACCACGGAGTCCCATCCTCAGCCTCATGTTTTTTATTCTTTTCTTTCCAGCACCCAGGGAGGCAGGGAGCTCCCTTTATCCAATGACGTGACCACCTACATGGGTAGTGGGGGCCACAGGCTGGGACACTCCTGATGTCAGAAGTGAGTGGGCAGGTTGACCGACCATAGGCTGTCTCTCAGCCAGGCCCTCTCAGTGTCAGCATGGACTCCAGGATCCCGTCTGCTAGGGGCTGGTTCAGCAGCCGCCCACCCACCTCTGAGCCTGACCTGGAGCCTGCCACAGATGGGCCAGCTTCTGAGACCACCACCCTCAGCCCAGAAGCCACCAGCTTTAATGACACCAGAATCCCTGATGTGACTGGTGGCACAGCCGGCGTGGGCACAATGCTTCTATCTTTTGGGATCATCACAGTGATTGGCCTGGCTGTGGCCATGGTGAGAGCTGGGGCAGGCTGGTTCTGGCCCAGATGGCCTTCAGTTGGCAGAGGGTGGTCAGTGTTTAGATTTTAGAGAGTCTAATCAGAACATAGTTGTCTGTTAGTGATAGTCCAATCTTCCCCTTCTGTGGGGATTTGCTTATTGGAGTCCAGAGACCAGAGAGGCTGCCTCCAATTGGAAGAACTGGAGAAGGTTCTGAGGGATATATATGGTGTTCTGAGCTGGGTCATGAAGGAGGGTGTTCCAGGTGGAGGCAGGGTCCTGATGGGCAAAAGTTTGGATGTAGGCAGAAGGTTCTGTGAGCAGCAAGCCAGACAGTGAGGCAAGTGAGTGTGGGGGTGGAATAAAAGTAGAGGCCAGAGGGCGATTGGGATAGATTGTGGTCTGTGGAGTCCAGATGGGAAGCTCCAGGCATGGCAGGCTGCTGGCAGTGTTCATTCATTCATTTACTTGGCAATTATTTACTAAGCACTTGCCCTGGGTGAAACCTCCGGGACCCCAGGGACTAGGGGGGCAAGGTCCTGCTCTGTGGTTCTTACAAGGAGTGGGAGATAGATAAAACCAGGGATGCCAAGGAAAGCCCATAGGGACTGGGTTGGGGAATTGCGGGGGGGTGCTTCCTAGGCTGAGTGGTCTGGGACAGCTGAGGGGACAACATTAAAGCTAATTTTTCACAGTGGAGGCCTGGCCCCAGTGTCATGAGAAGGACAGAGTTGGGCAGACTAGGACAGAGGTGAGCTGGGGTGAGGTCTGTGGATGTCCCTGAGAGTGGATGTGATGCTCCCAGATCTGGAATCTGCCTCTGAAGATATGGGCTCTTCCCTTAAGATGATACCTGGACATTCAGAATGTCACTGAGGGACCAGTGGAGATTGTGTAGGCTGAGACCAGGGAGGGTGGAAGTGCACCTGCGGTGCACTTGCATTCTGCCCGCTGCCCCTCACAGGCTCTGACGGCTGGCCTTAGGCTCAGGGGCATGTTTCTCTGATAAACAGGGCAATGGATGGTCCATCCATGGCCTGGCTGGAGCTGCTGATAAACCAGGGTCACCATATGGTGATCCCTGCAGGCTCCGGATCGCTGCCAGGGAATAACTGCTGGCCAGCAGGCAGAGCCGGGATGCAACACACGGAGTGAAGTGGGGGACTGGGTAGTCTCCTGGGGCAGGGACAAGGCACAGCACCAGTGTTTGGCACCCATGTGGTGGTTAAGCAGGCAGAGATACCCTAACCTCAGAAGCAAAGAAGGGTCTCAAATCTGCCCTTGTCACTCTTGGCCAAAGATTTTGTCCCAGGAACTTGGGAAGACTTCCTTACTCTTCATCCTGGAGGAACATTCGGAGGGCCACAATGGATGGCCTTATCACCAAAATCAGAGCAGCAGGGAGATTATGGGGCAAAGGCAGTGGAGGGTAGGCAACAGCCTTTGGGCACTGTAGGACAGGTCCAGAGACGTTCCTTGAGTACTACTTCCTCTCCCCTCATGCCAATCCTGAGCCACGAGGAGGAGTCACTCAAGGAGCCAGGAGGAGGAGTAAATCAGTGCCAAGCTTTATGCCTCACACATAGGTGGAACAGTCAGGGAGGGCTTCCTGGAGGAGGTGGGGCTGCAGCTGGACAGTGAGGGGTGGGGAAGATTTGAAAAGGAAGGCATGTGGGGTGGATGTTAGTAGTTGGGGCAGAGGGAGCAGCAAAGCTAAGGTGTGTAGACTGGATAAATGTTCTGGCCTCTCTTGAAGGTCCTTCTGCATCACTGGGCTGCAAGGCAGGGAGGAAAGGTTGGGGCACGGCTGAGAAGGGAGGGAGTACAGGGTGCTGGGCCTGCAGCCGCTGGTTCAGGGCAGGCAGGGGCTGGGCCAGAAACCTGGAGCTCCTGTTGCATCCCACCCGCAGGAGAGCAAGAGGCACGCCCACATGTGATGTCCTGGAGCGGGTGGGGAAACAGGAGGCACCTCGGTTTCTTTTACCTTTGGGGTCCCTCAGGTGTGAGCGGCAGGAGGAGCTGTGGGCCAGCCAGGAAACAAACCAGATTCAAGCTGTGAATGGGCCACAGAGTGGGGGTTTGGGACAGAGTCTAGGGACATAGCTTTTCCCCAGGCAGAGGTGGTCATGCTACTGGTAGTCAAAAACCACCAGTTTAGGGATGAGCATGGTGGCAGAGGTCCCTGGAGTCCCTGCTCATGTGGTCACCGTGATTAACCCCCTGCCTCCCTCCCCTTAGTGCTTTGTACCAGGATTTCCTGCTCCAGCCTGGAGCTCTTGGATCTTGGATGTTTTCTCAGGCTGCCTAGGCCTTATCTTCAAGTCTATACAATGGGGGCTTAGGACTTAGGGGCCTTTCTAGGTTCCTCCAGCATCAGGATTCTGAAGTTTGGTCTGGGCTGGTGTCCTGCCTCCTCGGCCCCTGTCCACTGAGGGCCATCAGACTCCCATGAAAATCCCAGGAACTGGGCCCACAGCCTTGCCTTGCAGAGCCTGGCCACTGCCTGGCCCCTGTTCTTTTTGGCCATACATGAGAAAGAAATTTGGGCCTGGGGACAGTTGAGAAGAGGGGGTGTGCTGAAGTCTCCCCTTACCCCAACTTCATCCCCGAGGAGTCCGAGGCACGCAGTGAGTGGCTGGAGCTGCAGTCAGTATTAGTGAGCCAGGCCTAACTGTGTGCTCTTCCCAGGCTGGAACGCTGCCCACATCTGAGTCCAGGCACTGTTGGCATCTAATAAACATCAAATGGAAGTGTGGATGTGGGGTTTATGTGTCTCTGGGATGGGGTCCCTGAGGACATGGGGACCTAGAGATGTCCCATTCATCAGCCTTAGCATGTCCCCAGTCCCGAGGGACTGCTGGGTTAACCAGGGCCTCCTTTCCTGGCCATTTGATGCTGCCTCTTCTCTTGCAGGTTTTGTACATCAGGAAGAAGAAGAGGTAACTCCCCAGGTGCCATCCAAGACTCCAATCCATGGGCAATGCTGGGCTGGACTCCAGGGGACGCGGGTGGGAAAGGAGAGTCCTCCCATCATGAGGGCCCCTCTGTTGTCAGGGAGTCAGTGCCCCTTCTGCCCACTTGGGGTTGGGAGTGATCTCTTTCCCTCGGGGAGGGCTGAGCCACCCTTGACCTGCTGCCCTGACTCCCCTTTCCCCACCCAAGCCCCTCAGGAGCTGTGGACCCCACAAGGCCGTGGCCTAGGCATCCCCACGGCCCCTACAAATGATAACTCTGTGGCCCATGGCCCCACCTGGTTCCGGGAGTGGGTAAATATCCCTCCCAGGCCACCCATCTGAGGGGTAGAACCAGTTCGATAGGGGCAAAAATGTCTTTCATTCAATCCCAAGGGAAATCTTCGGGTCCTAAATGTAGTGGTGTCAGCTGGTCAGCAGGCAGGGGCTGGGGGGCTGGGGGGAGGGGAAGGGCCTGCCCTGCCCCCAGCAGCCTCTGCCCCCACCCCTAGGCTGGAGAAGCTACGACACCAGCTCATGCCCATGTACAATTTCGACCCCACGGAGGAGCAAGATGAACTGGAGCAAGAGCTGCTGGAGCACGGGCGGGACGCTGCCTCCGTGCAGGCCGCTGCAGCTGTGCAGGTCGTGCAGGGCAAGGTGGGCACTGAGCAGGCTCCCCAACCCAGCCCGCAGGCTGTTCATGGCTCTTCTGCCCCCACCCTCCCTCCTTTCTCATGCAGTTTTCTAGCACCTGCCATGTTGTCAGGTGGCAGCTGTTGGGTATAGGGATTTAGCCAGGCTTGTTTAGAAACTGGTAGAATTGCTTTATGGCCACGACAGGCTGACTGCATAAGGCCAGACTGGGGCAGTTCTGGGATCCAGCGTGGCTCTGCCACTGATAGCCTAGTGATCTTCGAAGCCCCATTGGCTTCTTTGAGCCTCATTTTCTCATTTACAAATGAAAATCCTGATTCTTGCCCCTGGTACGCCCCCTCAAACTAGGGGGAAAGCAGGAGAGGACTGATGGGAGAGACTGTTGGGGGGCTTAGACCCTGGGTTCCTCTGCTTCCTGAGATCCCAGTCCTGAGTGTGTTGTGATTGGGGTCAGACTCTGGGGCAGTGGCACCTCTGAGTAGACTGGTGGGTTCCTAGTAACTGGCAGACCCCCGTCAGGTGGAGCCCCCAGACAGATTCACCTCCCACGTCCAAAGGGTCAGGTACCTGTGCTGTTATCTTGCCAGAGTCACTGAGCTGCCTGGCCACTTGCCACCAGTCCCTGAAGTCCCCAGGGGCCAGAGCACCATGAGGAGGCTTGGTCTCCCCCGACCCATGATGCCCTTTGCATCCTTCCTTGCCTTGACCCCACAGAGGCAGAATTGGGCTGGGAGTCCGGAGATCCCTTGGTTTTTCTACCAGTCCTGTGTCATCCAGATTAGGATACATTCCCTGCTTGGGATGGTCAGGAAATTGGGCTGAGAACCTTGGTCCACCCAGAACGTGGGCCTACTGACCATTTGACAGCTGTCTCCTGTGCACTTCCCTTGTGCCAGCCCCTGTGCTGGGGCTTTGGGGCTTGAGGTACAGAGGTGAGCCCCTCCATGGCCCTGGGCCCACAGGGTAAGTGCTGCAGCAGGCTGAGGCTGCTGCACAGGCTGGGGATGGCTGTCGGGGAGGAGTTACCTGAGCCAGATCCAATTTCATAGCTGAGCTTGTGAGAGGATGTTCCAGGCAAAAGGCATAGATTTCCAAGCGCTGGTCCATCCACCAGAAGGTGGAGGTGCCTGGGCCAGAGAGTGCATGGCCTTGGTCAAGGTCCCTGATGTCCCTGACTATCTCTCTGCAGACCACTCTCCCTTCTCAGGGCCTGATGCAGAGGCCCAGCCGGCTGGTGTTCACCGACGTAGCCAACGCCATCCATGCGTGAGTGGCCTGGACCTCTGATGAAGACACCTGCCACAGTGCCCACAGAGCTGCCTACTCCGAGATCATTAAGGCCTACTCTCAGGACCTGCCCTGCCAAGGCCACAGCTGTTTTGAGGCCCCACCTGCTAACTTTCCATGCTCCAAGAGAGGCCCCTGGCCAGGCTGGGCCTATGGCCACTGATGTCCTCTGATCTGAGGGGCCTGGCATGGAGAGCATCCCTCATGTCAGGGAGGTGAAGAGCCATTGCTGGCTGCCTTGTTCCCTTTCCAGACCCCTCACATCAGAGTCTGTTCCTCTAATGTGGAGGAAATGGAGGAGACATGGGTTGGGAATGGAAGGGAAAGAGAGTCGGGGGTTTCCCTTCTGTCAAGGCAAGACCCATCTTTGCAATCTGGAGCCTCCTCTTGGGTGGGGAGAGGCAACCAGCCAGGTCTTGGGGACGGTGTGGTGGCACCCTGGGAGAGGCTTAGGGATAGAGCTGAATGCCCAGCGGGCAAGGATGCCAGGAGGAGGGCTGCTCCTATGCAGGGTCCATCCATGTTACAGAGGGGCCATGAGGTCTTCCAGACACCCTTCCCTGGCAGCCAGCTACTGGCTGGGCCCAAGCTAGGATGGGAGCTGAGGGGGAGGGAGGTTGGGGAGCAGGTGTGGAGGGATGCCATGCCAGACCTGCTGGGAGGCTTCATAGATGTGTGCAGATGTGCCCACATGTGGATTTGCACCTGTCCCAGCACAGGGGCCAGGATGGAGACCTCTGCATAGCTCCACACTCCAAGCTGACCCCCACACCATGGTGTATAGAAGAGCACTAAGTAGGCCACCTTGTCTGCCTTCAGTGTTCAGGGACAGAAGGGAGAGGAAAGCAAAGGCGAGGGTCCACTGCCCACTGCGTCTCCTCACTGGGCTCTAAATGCCAGGTAACCTGCTTCTGAAATGGTTCCCTGTCTTGGTTATGTTGGTGATCTGGGGTTGAGGGGAGAGGCTATTGGTCTAAGGGCAGTGGCCGCAGGCTGCGGGCTAGCAGGGGGAATTCTGACTGCCTGAAACCTGGTGGGGATACAGACCTAGGAGACCTAGTCTGTCTTTTGAGCGCACAGCCCACCTACCCATTGTCCGCCCACCCCAGGCCCCTCAGGAATTCTACCATTCTGAGGCATCTGGACAAGGTACTAGGCCAAGCCAGACCCCAGGCACTGAGCACTTTTTCTCCGCTGGGCACGCATGCGCATGTGAGCATGCACAGCCGCACGCCCTCCAGGCCCAGCCTCGCCGCCCTCACTGTCCTCTGCTGGTTGGAGGGGACACGAGGGTGGCATGTACAAAACTTCTGTTGGGCAAATACCACGTGTCAGGATGTGAGGTCCGAGGAGGCCTGCGTGGGGAAGGTTCTGGATTGATTCCTCCTCTAGATGCTATAAATACGTTAGCACTTGAGCCAACTGGAGGGCTGCGGGTAATTTAGGATGCACAGAAGCTGTAATTTAACTCACAGCATCTCCATGTAAGAGCATTAAAGATGTAATTAAGATGTTTACACAAAAAGAGTGTGAGCTTGTGACACTCCGGGTGTGAAACCCCAGGAGGGGCAGGATGGGTGAGGGGCTGTGGGGGACCTAGGTGTGGCCGCTTGGATTCCAGCTATGAGGTGGCAGCCGAGTTGGCTTTCTTGTTCATTTGGGTGAAACGCCTCTGGTCCAGAGTTCAAGGCTGCTCTGGGGCCTCGTGCCTCAACTGTGGAATGGAGTCACATGCCTGCCATCCGCTTGGGTGGAGAGGCCGAGTGGACAGGACCTGTGGGACCAGAGGTGGGAGGGGGCTGGAGCCCCAAGGTGCAGGGGAGGTATGGTGCCTCAGGACCCATATGAGCTGGGTCTGAAACAATAGGGGAAAAATGGTCTTTCCCAGAGTACAAGGGTGCAGGGGGTGGGTGGGGTGTGAAGCCACCTGCAGGGTTCAAAAGGGTCTGGGGGAGAATGACACCAGGGTGACCAACTGTCCTAGTTTTCTCAGGGCCACACAATTTTAGCATTGAAAATCCCACAAACCAGGACCCTAAGTGACATGCAGACCCTCCGCTAGAGAGCTGAGCCTTCAGGCTAGTGTAAGTGAAAACAAGGAAGAGGTGAGCTCCCAGGGCTGGGCTGGAGGTGGGGGCTTCAGAACAGGGCCTTGGGTAAAGGGCGAGGGCGCCAAGCACCCCATGGGCCTCCCACACTGGGGTCAGACAGCTGGGTCTTTCCGTGACCAACCCCAGCCTTGGGGAGGGGTCCCCTTTCCTCAGCGCACTGGCAGGACTCCTGAGGGCAAGAGGAGAAGGGATGTATAGGCTTTGCACCCGCATCCTGTTGGAGAGCCCCTCAGCCAAAGAACGTGGAGCTGCAGAAGACGTGATGTCTGGGAGACCCTAAAAACGGTCTACAGAGTAAGGCTGGCACTGAGAACAGGGCCTGGGGCGGGGGCTCCAGGAGGACCCCTGTCCCCATTCTCTCCCACTGCCTGCCCCAGACCCCTTTCCTTTTCCTTGGCTAGGTGATGGACAAATGGTGGCTTTCTGTGGGTGACGGGAGCTGCCACCTCATCCCTTGTCCCCTCGCAGTCACCTCTTCCCTTCCACCCGCCTTCTGTTTTCTAGCTCTTTCCCAGTCCTGGAGGAAACCCAGACTTCCCGAAGGTTCCCAATTCTTCCACAGAGTATGAGATCAATAAACATCGGGGTAAGAGTTTCCAGGCGACATGTCCTCCCTGTGACCATGGGCCTGGTGGGTTGACCAGAACTCTCCTCACTGCCCTCAGCCAGGCAGAAGGGGTGAGATGGTGTTGCCTGCCTGCAGTTGCTGCTCCTGACTGTTACAAGAGGGCCCTTGGGAGCTGCCCCCCAGCCCCACACATCAGTACATGAAACCCCACCTCATGAGTAGCGACCAGGGCTTCAGGCAGAAGCCGCAGCGGTTTGCAGGGTGGTATCAGGGTGGACGTGGATGGGTGCCTTTGGAGGAGGCCATCTTGTTTAATCAAGTGAGGTGTCACCTTCAAGCCAAAGTGAATACAATAATCCCATTGCCTGACTGCAGGCAGATGCCAGGGACGCCTTCAGAATGTAAAGGAAAGTTCTTGTGGAGGTGAGCCCAGAAACTCCTGTGGAGTAGTCTGACCTTGCAATGGATTCTTTCCAGAAACATCACCGAGCCTCACTGGGGGCCCAGCACCAGCCCGGTCTCTGCGTCGCCATTTGAGATGGGAAGAGACAGTTGTCAAATAGGAAGAAGGGATGAGTGTGTGTGTGTGTTATGTGTGTACACACAGTCTGTACGTCCATATATTTGTATCTACATCTCTATGAAAAAGAAGGCAGGGAGAGGATCTGAGTGTGCCTGGGGGTGTTCAGATGCTGAGAGCAGACATCTCCACCCTATCCTGTCCAGCTGTCCCTGTAGCAGGCCTTAGCATGAGGACAGCAATACTGCCTGCCCCTACCAGGGTGGCTCAAGGTGCTCTAAGCCCCCAACTCCCTTTAACCTGACAGGAGGTCGGGCATGTCCTGAGACCCCGTATGCATAGGCATCTCAGGGGAAAGGGCCACAGATTCAGTCCAGCCTTCCTAGGCCAGGACTAGGACCTGGTCACCTCTGAGGCTCCATGGCAGCCTGGATTTCAGCCCCATATCCTCCAGGTGTGCCTGTGTGGGATGGTGTGGGAGGCCATGGCCTTGTCTGCACTGCTCTGTTCTCCTGATACATGGCCACTGGATGCTGGCACCTCCCACCTGGATCTGCCAACACCCCACAGATCACTCTCAAGGGGCACCCAGTTTCCCCAGTTCTCACATCACTGGTCCAGCTCCTGCCTTCCTGGATGGCAGCATGGATGGATATGCCCACCTGCTGGGGGCTTCCCCAGTGTTTCCAGTGACAGCCAGGCTGAGGCCCATCCAGTGCCCTCAGCTCCTCCTACCTGGCTGCCTCTGGGGTCTAGCCTGGGAGAATGTAGAGAGGGGACAATAGTAGATGTCCCAGCCCTTGTGGCTGACAGGCCTCCTGTCCTCTGGTCAAACAGGAGAAGAGGGGGTGTTTATTCCTGCCATTCCCGCCTGCCCAGCCCTAGTGTACTTCTGTTGGAGGCGTGGAGGCCTGGGTTTGGGGGGGGGTAGTCAGGTATACTTCCTGCGGTGCAGCAAGAGATAAAGGGGCACGGGTAATAACAATGCCAATACTAATAACATAATAATAATAATTATGCATGGTTTATTGAGCTCCTGCCACGTGCCAGATACAGTGGACCATCTCATGGAGAGAGGGCCAGGTCAGTCGATTGACGTGAACCCGACACAATCTCACTTAATTGCCAGTGCCCTTCTTGCAGGGTATCCGGTCACCCATCGTACAGAGGAAGAGATCCAGCACCCAGGGACTGGCTCTTCCTCTACACCGTTCGAGAAGGAATCTCAGACAATCCTAGAAATAGAAAGGTGCTGGGGCCTGATGGGGTACCCAGCAGGCTCTGCCCACTTGACTTTCCAGTCAGCCTTCCAGCCTCGGATGCCCTCCTGTGCTGCCACCTGCTGGCTTGTATAGGCACTGCAGATGCCTTCCTGCCCCATCCTCAGCCCAGTCGCCTGTCTGGTGGCCCTGAATTCTCCTCTGGCCCCATCCTCGGATCCCCCCTGCACTCAACCTCTCCCCCATGTGGTGTGGAGAGCAGCCCTCACACTGCAGGTCCTGACTTGGGGACTTATCTGGCTGGGCCAGGACTAGGCTGAGGTGAATGGGAGCCTAGGGTTTAAAATGTCAGAAGCCCTCACTCAGGTGCTGGTACTACACTTGCACCAACCTGAACATGAATGCCTCCTCAAATCTGTGCCCTGGGCGCCTCACTCACCTCATCCTAGCCCCAGCCCTGCTACTTAGGTCCAGGAGGCAGATATAGAACCACTGCCCCACCCCTGCTCCCATGCCAGCAGGCTGGAAGCCCCAGAAAGCCAAGTAATGGGAGTGTGGGCCCCTCCCTGGCAGAGATCGCCAAGACGCTCTTCACCCCGAGGAGGCTGAGAACAGATTATGAGCGACTTAAGGGACTTAGCAGCAGCTCAATAACAGGTCAATAAGGTGACACTCTGAAGCCCCTAATGGAGGAGGACAGAATTCCTGCCATAAATCCCTGCAGGTGGGTCAGCCCCAGAGTCTGTGTGTGAACCTGCCAGGACACTGGCAGGCAGAAGCAAAGCCCGTTTAACTCCTCCCAGGAACCCCATAGCCTGGGTACCACTTGTGCCCTCATATTATACGTGGGGGAACTGGGCACAAAGCACTAGGGTTACTTAGCATGCAGCAGGGCCTGGATTTGACCCCAGCTGAGCTAACCCCAGAGCTCACATCCAAGACTCCCAAAGAAGGAATGTTCTCTGAAGACAGAGCTGTCCCTTCCCTCACCACTCACTCATTCTCTTCAGTCCTTCCGAACTCCTCCAAACCAGGCCCCAGCTGGACTCTGGGGCTGAGGGGCACCCACAGGGGGCTGGCCTCGGAAGAGTCCCACCCAGCACGAGAGTCAAACAACAATGCTGTCAGCAACAATTCACCCCTCACTAGGAGGTGACAAGAGGCACAGGCAAGGTGACAGGGGAATTCAGAGGAAGAAACACCCCTTCTGAGTAGGGATAAGGCAAGGCTTTCATGGTGCTGGGCCTTGTGCTGGGTTTGGACACAAGTTGAGGGGGGACGTTTCAGGCTGGGCAGGGACAAGGTTTAGGGGATGATGGACTTCCTCACAGCCATGACACAAGTAATGGAGATCTCACCAGATGACCCCTACAAACATGGGGCGCCTACATTGCGCTGGGCCAACCCTATGTGCCATAAGCATTGTCTCTTACTGAGTACCCTTGTCTTCCACACTGGTGCTGGTGGGGAAGTGGGTCTATCAGACAGCTCTGCGAGGATCACCAGGCCAAGGGTGCTGCTGAATGACTCCTCCAGAAAGACCACACCCTTCTCCACTATGCCAAAGGGACCCAGGAGGCCTGTTTCCATCCCCAAGGATAACCTCCCCAAGCCTCAGTGGTGAGTGGACCAATTTCCCTTGCCAAGAGTATTCTGGAGCTCTTCCCAATGTGACCACCAGGTGGCGGTGCAGGCCTAGATCATGAGCTCGGCATGTGGGGCCAATACTGGGGCGCTCTGAGTGAAATTTGGCCCTGAGGCTTTTTTCAGCAGTCTGGGTGGCTGGTGCACTGAAGCTGTTTGCTTCCTCCCTGTCAGAAGCAGGCTGGACTGGGGCTGGGTCAAGAAGACTTCACATGTCTGTGTCTTGAGACTCCAGAACGGAGCCGGATACATAACAGGTGCTCAGGGCTATTCATTGAATGGAGGATTGATAAGTGGTCCTTCCCTCATGAGAATTAAATAAGACTTAATATATGAAAGCACGTGGAGTCTTCAATAAACGTATGTGCTTACTTGAACTTTTATTATGGAGGATGGGTCTTCCCAGAACAATCCCCAAAGATCTCCCCTATGCATATTTTGGAAGGTCTAGGCTGCGGGCCC